GTCTTGGAACTGGCTTGCTATACGTCACTGCCGTGTATCAATTGCTTACTGGTTCGAGAAACGTCGTAATTTAGCTGTTGGATTAGGTTCATGTGGAGTTGGTTTTGGAACTTTCATATATTCTCCACTGACGACGTATTTATTGGAAGAATTTGGATGGAGAGGTACCTTATTATTATTAGCTGGTACTGTACTTAATGTGTGCGTTGTGGTGCTGTCATGAGAGATCCTGAATGGTTGATATTAGAACAGAAAAAACAAAGAAAGCTAAATAAATCTAAGAGAGCATCTAGTTCTATATCATTTCGGCTAAGTCTGGAGGTGGTGAATCTGTTTATCCTGGAGCTGAAGAATTAAAGATTTAATGAAGAGCGGTGAGACACCTGAATATATACTCACAACATTGGTAGCTTCTATTGCTCAAGCAGAGATTTGGAAGCAGCAACTAAAAGAAATGCTGATATGTCACAATACCATAAAGTTAGTTCAGTAATTAATCTGCCTACGTTTTTAAGACAGAGTGAGAAGGTAAGAATCAGTAATATGATTTAACCAAGCCAATTACAAGTCTCATTTTGCTAAATAGTTTAAATAAACTAAAATTTTATTTAATCGTTTCAGGTGCCTGCTGAAGTTTTAGACCAACTTACAACAAATAAAAAACTGTATAATATTATATTGCAAAACTACCCATCGTTGTTAGCTTTACGTAGTACTTCAGAGCAAAAATTGAATGTGGAACCAGCGGCAGAGGCATCTAAAACTAAACCCATTAAGATGTCGATGAAGTTAAAATTAAACAAGAAAGAGAAGAAGAAGAAGGAATTTGAGACTAAACTAGACCAGGTCAGGGAGAAGTTACTGCAGCCGATACCTGAAAATAAGCCAGTGATTGTACAGAGGGAACGTCAAGACTGGTGGACAAGGCAGTTTGTTACTGATCATCAGTATTTAAGAAACATCAGAGTGCACCGTAACTCGATCATGCATCGTGGAGCTATGATGAACATTGCTAAATACAAGCTGCGAGCTTCATCTTGTCCTGACATTTATAGGAACTCGATGTGGTCCGTGGAAGAAGAAAGGTAATTATTACACTCTAAACAATCCAAGGAAAAACCAACTTGCATTGATGAGTTAAACATTTGTTTTTAACTGTTTTATTTATTTTTCGTTTCCAGACTTGGGGCAAACGGCTGTTGGACACGATTAACAAAACCTTTGACTTCAATATGTTCACGGAGTTCCATTTCTTGATGATGAACCTGTCGACTTTAGTACTCTTCATTTGGTTCATTGTGCCGTATTTCTACATCTCCAACTTTATGCTGATGAGCGGATACTCCGAAGTTCATGGATCTTGGATGTTGAGTGTCTTCGGCATAGCAACTATTATTGGCATTGTAAGCATTATTATTTTAATAATCAATGCTCTAATTTTTGATAACTTGATAGTTTTTATTTGTAAAATAATCATTTTTTTTATTAATCTTGAATGTTATCTATTACAGGTCGGCTTGGGTTGGATGGGCGATCTGCCTTGGGTGAACGTTACGAAGACGTATGCAGTATGCCTTATATTTTGTGGAATAACCATAATCCTGTTCCAGTTCTGATTCGTTTGATGGACCCACAAGCTCCTTACAGTTTCTATGTCTTGGCATTAAATGCTGTAATGTTTGGACTAATGTTCTCAAGTTCATATTCGTATACTCCTAGCATTTTGGTGGAGTTGATCGCTTTGGAAAGATTCACAATGGCATACGGACTGGTCCTTTTGAGTCAGGGCATAGGACATCTTATTGGACCGCCTATGGCTGGTAAGTTAATGTATATTTTGACGACCCAGACGTTTAAGTAAGAGTTGGCATGGAATGATTGGCCATTGTTATCGTGAGACATTGCAAAACAAATTCGCATAACATTGGCGCCGGATAATTCGCTGGCAGTCATTGTTTTTAAATACTGGTATTGATTTACTTCGGTTGACTCGCGTGTTTATGAATATCAAATAATGGTTTACCCATTACAATCTTTGCATTATATATCAGCAGTCAAGTAACAAAGTAAAAATAAGCCTATATGTCTATTGGTCTCTTACTATTAAGTTATTTACTTGCTTCGTGGTTAATTACTGATCAATAAGATAAAAAATAAAAATTATATAGGTAATGTTTTTACTAAGCATGAAAGTACATCAGTATTGGGAAAAAGTAATAAATCGATATACAATATCGAGGTTTAATGTTTTAGCTCTTATCGCATCAGTTGCGGTAACTACAATCGTAAAATGAAGTGTGAGCAGTCATAAACCTAGCTATAATCTGCGCTGTTTACGAATACAACGGTTGTTTGTATAACTTTAGCTCCTTACCTGTCAATTCCTTACATGATTTCCTTTTAAACTTTACAAATGTGTTTATTTCATTATTAATCTGAAGAATGTTAGAGACCAGCGCAATACATTAATGCCTTGAGATTAACTTTAGTTTTATGAAATGAATAGGTACAATAAAAAGAATAGCTGTCGGCATTGAAATACTTAGTTATTATCGGCAGAGCCGTTTTCCCCATTCTTTATAATTCACAAGTTCAGCAAAGTATTTATTTTTTAACTCGGTTTCTTTTGTGTTAATGCTCTTCAAAACGTTTCTATTAAAAGTCTCGTTTCTTATTCCAGGTGCTTTAAGAGATGTCACTGGACATTGGGACGCAGCTTTCTATGTCGCTGGCTGTGGGTCATAATATCTGGTTTCCTGGTTGGCGTTATACCTTACACTGAGAACTTCCGTATATGTGGTAACGCACCTCTGGCTAAAGATGTCGCTGGTGAACCTGATCCAGGAGTGAAGATCATCATTGCCCATTAAATCATTCACCAAGAAGTTCTAAACAATGAGTTTTGATGAAATCCCTGGTTGGAAATGCTTATCTACGATACTTATACTTTTTTAGTTAGTTTTTCTCGACTCTTATTGTCGATTTTTAAATAATAATGATTTTTTGAATGATTGATTTACAAAAAGTATTTTAATTATTTGTGATTTTGATACTATAACGACAAGGAAAAATATGTTCATTCTGAAACTAGTGATTGTATCTAAACTTTACACGTATTGTTGTTTTTGAAATAAAATTATGTATGTATGTGTTTAGATATCAGTGAAATTGTACCTACCGTGACATTGCACATGTGTGTTTATAGAGTTTTATAACTACATAGAAAATAATTTTCACAATCCTATTAACATAGTTCCTGTTACACCCATATTTGTTCTTCATTTTTATGCTTTAATAAATTTCCTAAAGCGACATTTGTTTTAGTAAGTACCTTTATAAAATAAATGAATAAATATAACCAACTTTATAAAGGAGCCAATGAATTTGGTGTCCCAGGAATTGTTATGTAATAGGTTTTTAATAAAGACCCTTAGAAGACGTGTTTTTAATAACAAATTTTATGTTTTTAAGTTCATATACCTACTCTAATTTTAAACATACATTATAGGTACCTACAGAGTGTCTGATATTTGCGTTTGATTATGTACTTGCCATTTTGTAACTCCGATCATGGTAATATTGAATTTATTTTAATTACAAATTTTGAAAGTATTTTAGGACTTAAGATTGTCTACTTATTTAGATTTTAAATCTTCCTACGTATGTAACATGTATGAGCTATTTAAAAATAAATCTGCTATTTCATAACGTGTTTTGTTTTTTTTATAGACAATTAAATAAATTCAGATAGATTCCCAATTAACACACACAAAAAAAAATATTACAGCAAATCTTCTTATCCTCCTTTTGCAGAAATGTTTAATATAGTACTATTTATGACCACGTTATTAAATTCTTAGATCGCTGACTATACTATATAAAGGTCACCCTTCTTGCGGGCTTTTACCAAGATTTGTAACAAATCCCAAACGTATCTGGTTCACTACTCTAGGTTCTTGTTGCCAAAGATTAAAAGACTACTAAAGAGAAAGCACAGGAGAAAATATATATAGAAATATTAAACAAGTAATCATAAATATATCAATAACATAAACAAGAGATATTTCAAAATATTCTCAAATAGTTATTTTTTATCCTGATATCATGGGAATTTTAGTTTTGTGTATTGGCAACATTCATTTCAGGAAATGTCAAATTGTCTGTAGCGGTCTGTATAATTTTAATTCTCTAGATGCAGACAGAAAATCAATAAAATGCATACGTACGTGATAGTGATATAGTGATCTCTCTCCTTGATTGGTGTATCTATTTCACTGAAAATTTAATTCATTCAATATAATTTACAAAAAAATATTATAACCTTTCATGAGTTTGATAACAGTAACTGACATCAGGGTTGATAAGAAATCAAAACAAACAGAAGATGAATAATTATTCCACATTCAAAATGATGAAGTAAGTATTATGTTTTTGTATTTTTGTGATTTAGTGGCCAGTAAATTAAATTAATATGTAACTTTTGCAATCACAATAACAATTTTCTTATGTGTCGAATTTGTACAAAACAAGTATGAAATAAAAAATAAAAATTGAAATGAAAATTCTGGGTTAAAATCCACATGAGACCAGTGTAAAGAAAATTGTAATTCTCAACTAGGTCACATAAACAAAAATTATTTTATAATATTATTGTCAGTATAAATCCAACTCTTTCTTTCATTTTATAAAAGCGGAATTTGAAACGAAAACTCTAAACTCTAAGTGGTTACTCTAATCTGTGTAGCCAAAGCATCGAGGAATCTTCACTTAACCCATCAAACAATTATTGTCCGCTTAATCATAGTCACAGTTGTCTATTCACAATTATTGAGATTTTTTTTCTTTTTTGAATGACTAAATATCCAATACAGTGTTGTCGACTATACTGCCAGTGTCGCTTAGTGACTGCAGATTAATCAACTGTCGAAATATAACTTTGTAGTAGTTGTTAGTAACTGGAAGGGACAAAAGACTTATTGTATAGTTTATGATATTGTTCCAGAATAGTGCATCTTGATATGAAAGGCGCTCCGTTGAAGGTTGATTATTTGGAAAAGGTATGTATTGTATCTTCTTCAATCTTTAATATTCAATGTGAAAACATTTGGATGGGTGTTTATGAGTCCATCACATTAAAACTCTAGACAGATTTGGATGCAAATTGACACCAAAAGACACGGGAATTACACAAGTCATTGGCAAAATAAGCTATTATAACACAAAGTAGACCATAATTACCTCTCAAGTCAAATAGAACTCGCATCATATCAACAACCTGTAAGTGGCCACAGCTAACAAATGTAGATGGTGATTTTAAACTTATAATTAATTAAGAATTATAATCCCAGGTTTCCCCAAAATTTTTATCTTCAGTGATTGTCAATGGTGTCTAAACTATGTTAGAAAGTACATACATATACCTATACCTCATAACAGTCACATTGGCAAGTACTACCTACTGCAATTGATAGTTTTCAAATTCTCATGCATGAGGAGCAGGTGTCTTAATCCTCCGGACCACTACGACTTAATATCACTATTAGTGCAGAATTCGTATTCAACAGTTTTGTCATTCAAAAACTTAACTTACTTCTACAAGAAGCATCAACATTATACATAGACATATAAATTGTTCATACATTCCAGGTGTTCCAAGTAATCAAATCATGGGGTGTGACTGGAGTTCTTCTGGAATGGGAGGATACCTTCCCATATACAGGAGAATTGGATGAAATCGGTAGTGTGAAGAATGCTGGAGGTGACAACTTGTACAGCTTGGCTGAAGTCAAACATCTGTTGGCTTGCATCAAGGAACTGGGGATGGAAGCTGTAAGGGTCTTTGTTTAATGTTTTTTTTTTAAATTAAAAAACTATACCTAGCTAACATGTCTATGGATTAATTTGTTAACATAACACTTAGCTTAGCGTGATTTTATATGCAGATTTTAGTTATTATTTAGTTTTAAGTATTTGCGAATATCAGATGTTTGCCTGGCAATCCTTGCACTTACTATATTCTACTAATTCTAGAATACTCTTGCAATGTTATATCTATTTAAAAAAAATATATATTTAACTCGTACACAATCATCTGATGCAAATACACAAAATGTGTTCATACAATAGTAGGCTCTAAACATCTGAAATAAGGTCTATAATAGAGTTAGTGAAGAGTGGTCATTGGTGGCCACTTGGGGATTGATCAGTCCAATTATTAGAGTACCAACCAGTTTTTATAGCATAAAATTATGACAGTATACTGACTTACCCACACTTAATTATAAATTGTGACGGAAGCATACAATTTGATGCTGTGCAGTTTTATTATGGCCTGCAAAGTTGCTATTTTTACTTTAGGGAACAGAGAGTATAGTTCCCTAAGATCGGAAAAGGAGGATCCTCCGACCAGGCGAGGTGATAGCCTGGCGGGCTTTCTGCCAAACAGTTGTTCGTTGGGATATCCGTGTTTATTCGCTTGTAAACTTTGCATGTGCGATGCAGGATTCTTGTGACGTCATCCGTTGACATGTGGCATGCGTCGCCACAGTATACAGATACAATAGCAATATAAGTTTTAAAATGATTAACTATGCGTTTTATATTATGATTAACTGCAAATCTTTTGAATAACCTAAGTATATCCTCATATTTTTTACCTTCATAGCAAAATTATGTAATTCATCTTCAGATACAACTGGTGCAAACATTTGGGCATATGGAGTTTGTTTTGAAGCACCCTGCGTTCCGTGAGCTGCGGGAGATAGAGCAGGCCCCGGCTGTGATGTGTCCTACCAAGTTGAAGTCTCTGCAGCTGGTGATGGCGATGGTAGACCAGGCTTTAGAGGTCCAGCCTGACGCTGCCTTCTTTCATATTGGGGCTGATGAGGTAAATGAATAAATAGTTCTTATAGAAGAATAGTTATTCTTTTTTTAGGAATATGGGGGCTAACGAGCAGACGTATTGCCTGATGGTGTGATGTTAAGCGATTAATAACCATGAACACTCGCAACTCCAAAAGAATTGGGTAGTTAGATAATGAAAAAATATTAGACACATATTTTTTATTTTCTCGTATTACGTTGCAATACTTAGATAAAATGGCGCTAAGTTTACGAGTGGGAGGTCGTTACGTCATAACATCCTACAAATTGTGGCACGCTGTGACGTCACACAATATTTCAAATTAATATAGCGATATATCTGCGATTCAAATTAATATAGCGATATATCTGGACTTAGCAAAGGCATTCGACACAGTATCTATTCCCATCTTGATCAAAAAACTTGACCACCTAGGAGTAAGAGGGTTACAGCTGAAATTATACGAGGACTACTTGCATGAAAGAACCCAGGTGGTTAAAGTTGAGAACTGGGTAAGCGATGAATTACCTATTGAATGTGGCGTCCCACAGGGTAGTATCCTTGGCCCGTCATTGTTTCTAGTCTACATAAACGATCTATGTCAAACAGAATTGACGAATGGAAAAATCGTATCATTTGCGGATGATACTGCCCTACTTTTTCATAGTGACACATGGGAAGACGCGTTTAGATGGGCTCAACAGGGTCTTGACGAAGTAACTCGATGGCTCAATAAGAATCTACTCACACTCAATGTTGGGAAAACTATGTATATGACTTATAGTAAAAGAACGCAGGAACATACAAACTTGCATTTAACCGCACACACTTGCCACATAACTGCTCCAGGAACAGTCACTGTCCTGAACTAAAAAAAACAAACAACATCAAATACCTCGGTGTTATTATCGATGATAAACTCGACTTCCAATTACATATTGAGGCACTAACCACCAGAACCCGCAAATTAATCTTTATTTTTAGGAATCTTCGCCATGTAGCAGATAGCAAAATAATTAAAACTGTATACTATGCCTTATGTCAATCCGTCTTTACCTATTGCATAACGTCGTGGGGTGGTGCAGCTAAATCTTACTTACTCAAGTTAGAACGAGCCCAGAGGGCCATCCTTAAAGTAAGTTTATTCCTGCCTTTCCGTCACCCAACCTATGATCTATATCAGCGATTCAATGTTCTGACAGTTCGCCAGCTTTTCATCCTGTACACCGTTCTAAAAATGCACTCTCAACTACCATTTAATTCGGATAATTCTACAAGCAGGAGAAGACTTACTACCATCTGCCATATAGAAAGAAAACATTTTGGCTTCACTCAAAACTTCTTTACTTTTTTAGGCCCATACTTATATAACAAAATAAATAAAGAGCTAACCATTCATTCTCTCACCAAAAGTAAATGTAAAGAAAGCGTCAGCGACTGGCTAATTAAACTAGACTATGAGGAGACTGAAAAAATTCTGAGACCACTTTCCTAAGCTACAACTGATGATCAATCACTACATTCATATCAACACTTCCACCTCATTCACTTCCCTATACACACCCACACATAATACACATCAACTCACTCACTCACATACACACGCACTCACACTACATTGTTACACACCCACAGTAAATACTCACTCATACAATGTTGTCCATTTTATTTAGTTAAGTAAATACTTTATATTGTTCAATGTCTCCGGGGGTCACCCGGGCCTGGTGATCTGTAACACAGGTTATACCTTTAACAGACACCAGTCTCTTAATTGTAACATATTATATAATTTGTATCCGTAGAGTATTTTTGAGAAAATAAAGATTTTTATTATTATTATTTATTATAATATATTGTCGAAAGTATTTAATTTTGTGAGAAAAGAAAAAATCGTGTATAAAGTTTTAAATTAATCTACCAGACGGACATTAAAATAAAATTTAGGAAACTACCCTATTACTGATTAGTGGCAGGCCTTTTTATGATGGACTAAAGTCTTTTACTTTAGGTTTGAAGTTCATGCCTATGGGGTGGATTTTAGTCAGTAAGTCTAACACGCCCCTCTTGCCTCACCCAGGGTGGGAGAAATTAATTTTTCCTCCTCAAAAACACCGATAACCATACCTAAATTCGTACTATTGTTTAATATTAGGAGTAAAGACAATTATTTTATATTTTACAGGTGTGGCACGCAGGCATCTGCGAGGACTGCCAGGCAAAGCTGGGGGAGGACAAGATGACTAAAGCTAAGTTGTACTTGGAGCATATAAAGCGAGTGGTGCTTCATGTGAAGAGTCGGATGCCAAACATATCCGTGCTCATGTGGGACGATATGCTGAGACCCATGGATGCGGAGACTTTGCGAGGTATGATCAATAATCGGGTATTGCTCAATCAAAAATAAAGGTATTGCGACTTTTCAACAATATAACAAACAAACAGAAGATAAATTATGTAGAAAATAACCACAAATTTGTTTGTTTGTTATTTCCAAATTGTACTAGCTTATTTTTTTTACATATTATGCTGTTCGTCTCATACGAAATGCACAGAAATTTAAATTTTTTGACGTTTCGATAAAAGTATTGAATTTGACTAGTTGTGGAGTACCGTATTGTGCTTGTAGAGTAGGAGACCGCTACGTTGTCGCTCAGAATGTCACAGGATATTAAAATGAATATATTAAATAAATTATTATGTTTTCGGCTTGCTCACGTAATAATTTGGCGAGGAACTCGACTAGTTTCAAGCCATGCTAGAGGCTCATATTCATGAGCAGCATTTCGCGGGTCGCGGGTCGCGTCTCGTCAAATTATTACGTGAGTAAGCCGAAAACATAATAATTTATTTAGTATGTCTCACGAAAGTTACAATACAAATGAATATATTGTAGAAAAATTCATTATTGAATGTTATTTTCAGAATACGCTATAGGCGACCTCGCCATACCTGTGATATGGCACTACAGCACGATGGAGTGTTTCGGCCTAACGAAGGAAATGTTCAACATCTACACTCAACTGTTCCCCAAGGTCTTTGTCGGAACCGCGTTCAAAGGAGCTAATGGGAGTTGTCAGGTAACATTATTGTACTAATAGCTTCTGCCAGGGGTTTCGCCCTCACTGCGAGGACCGCCCGAAGGACACGGTGGAGGTGTGCCCTGCGTGGGCTGAGCACCGCCGTGTCTTTAGGGAAGTGATCGGCGACGGCGACCTCTCCCGTCCGGCTCTGGTTCAGACCATAGTGCGGAGCGAGAGGGACAGTCAAAAAATATCCCATGTGTTAGAGACAGATTGATAAAAGCTTTGGGTTTATCAATAAAGCTGCTACTGCTGCTTTATTGATCCGGTCAACGTTCAGTCCGGTTACAGTCCCGTCGACGCGACGGTAACCGGACCTTAATAGTATTTATTTAATATTAATATTTGCAGGTATTATCACCAGCGGCCCGCTATGTAAGCAACCACGAGGCTTGGCTGTCTCATATGAAAGAAAATGAACGAGTCAACTTCATCGGAGTGATACTCACTGGCTGGTCCAGGTACGTAATCTTATGAAAGAAAGGAAAAAAGATAAACTATTTATTTCGCCACGACACACAACAAGAATATAGGTACACACAAAAAAGTCTATGCGTCGCAGCGCAAAAGGCTGGAGCTCAGCTTGCCGTGGACCGTGGACCGGGCACAGAGGCTCGAGCCCGTAGTAGTACGTACTGTCGCGGAGAACCTAACGGGTAACCGGGGCTCTGGCTCGACTTGCAGGAGAAGGAACGGGGTGGTTTTTAGTCAGTAAGAGTCTGACACTCCCTTCCGCCTCACCCAGGCGGGAGCAGTCATTCGATGATTCCCCCCCCCCCCTTAAAAAAGTAGTACGTACTAGTTATACACCTACGGTAACGCTGTTCGGAGCACAGCATGATATAAATAATAAAATTAATATAAAAATAAACTAGCTTCTGCCATCGGCTCCGCTAGCGTTCCTCTGGAATAAAAAGTAACCTATAAACTTTTCCAAGCCATAATCTAATCGTGTTCCAATTTTCAACCCGATCTGTTCAGCCGTTTTGACGTGATTGGGTAATAAATATACACTCAAACACAAACTTTTATATTTATAATATAACTAGCTTTTACCCGCGGCTTCGCACGCATCACAAAAACATAAAAAGCCTATGTGCTAATACACACAGCGCCATCTATACCAATAATTTCGTTTTCCCTCGAGAATAACAAATTTTTCCGGGATAAAAAGTACCCTATTATTTAATCCAGACTTCTAACTTTACGTCTGCAAAAATTCAAAGCAATCGGTTCAGTAGTTACGGCGTTAAAGCGGAACAAACAAACAAACAAACTCACTTTCCGATTTATAATACTAGCTTTTACCCGCGGCTTCGCTCGCGTCACAAAAGTATAAAAAGTAGCCCATGTGGCATATACCAATACACATAGCGCCATCTATACCAATACTTTTGTTTTTCCTCGGGAATATCAATTTTTCCGGGTTAAAAAGTACCCTATTATTTAATCCGGACTTCTAACTTTACGTCTGCAAAAATTCAAAGCAATCGGTTGAGTAGGTACAACGCTTACACGATGTACCTACGTATGTTTATCCTATTAATATAAATGCGAATAAACCCAAAATAGTATTACGCTAGATTTTCTTAAAATGCCGTTGGGTTTATTATTTCTATTATTTATCCTCTTGAGCCTTGTATTATTAGGTAAATGTCTTGTTTGTGTTTTGATTTACGTCCATACATGTAATGAACGTCTGATAAGTTTGCAACTGCGCAACTCATGAGCATGACTAATGAGACGAAAGAAACAAATAAGAAAAGGTTCGTGAGACATACTAAATTAATCATTATGTTTTTAGACTTACTCACGTAACTGTTTGACGAAGAACTCGATTAGTTTCAAGCCAGTCTAAGGGCTCATATTCATGAGTATCTTTCCGCGACACACGACGTGGTCACTGTCAAATCAGTTACGTGAGTAAACTGAAGAACATAATAGTTAATTTAATAAGAAAAGATTTCCACAAAAAGCCATTTCTAATTATTATTGTGTCTCTAACATAATAAACAATTATAAGTAACTACTGACCACATCACTAACGTAATAAACTTACACTAATGAGGAAAATCTACAGAAATTATCCTCGAGTCATGAACTAAACAAGTAAGCTTCGATATGAATTGTGCATAAAAGGCAAAACATCGTTTAACTGTTCTCATTACAAAAATAAATTCAGAAGGAGCCACCTCATACGGTGCTCCTACATCATTGGCATCCGTATTCGCAGTTCTATTTTCATTAAAAAAGGTTAAAACATCAAAAAAAATGCGAATGTTTAGTTTTTATTTATTTTTATTCATTTATTTGAGTGGAATCGTCCACATCAGCGGCGGAGGACTCGCGGGTACGGCTCTGAAACATTTTGTGAAATGTAAGTATATAGTATTTGTTCAATATTTCTGTTTGTAACTTTATCCAGATGTTTAAGATTTTTAGCTACTTATTTGTGTTTTACAATAATTTGTAAGGTGCTAATGCACCTTTGACTTAAATTAAAACAATAGGGTAGTTGCCTAAATTTTATTTTAATGTCCGTCTGGTAGATTAATTTAAAACATTAGACACGTATTTTTTCTTTTCTCACAAAGTTAAATACTTTCGACGATATATTAATCTAAAATATCGCGTGACGTCACAAAGCGCTACATTTTGTAACGACCTCCCACTCCTAAACTTAACTCCATTTTATCTAAGTATTGTAACTTTATACGAGGAAAAAAATATGTGTCGAATATTTTTTCATTATCTAACTGACGAACTAATAAGATTTTTAATTTTCATTCCATGGCAACTACCATATACTAATAATACTTACTGGGACTGCCTCAGTGTTAGACAGATATTGTAATTCTTAATATAACAAACAATTTGAATTTGAATCCTTCTCTATTGTATATTTGTCAGTACTAATACAATTATATCTTCTCTTTAACAGGCCCAGCTAGACGCATGCACATGGACGTTAGTAAAATGGACGTGCATTTTCACGACTTCCATAGAGGCAAGAGCAAAGTTTTTCCTATAGACAAAGCTGCAAAAGGCATACTCTCTTTTGACAAACTTGATAAAAACAAGAAGTTCTACATGTTTGTCCATGGATTCGCAACATACATCAACCACACAACCGCAGACCTAGTAAGGAGAACTTTTAAAGCCGTTCCCAACAGCTACCTAATTCTCATCGACCATTCACATTATACCAACAATTATGACGGACTGAAAAAGAGCTACAGAAGGTCCGTCAAACATGTCTACTCTATTGGAGTACAATTGGCACACATGTTGCTTCAACTCAATAACGGAGGAATTAACCCTAAACGTATCCACGCTATCGGCCACAGCTTGGGTGGCCAAATACTGGGCCATGTTGGGCATAATTTCATTACAATGACTAATGGTAAGAAAATTGCTAGAATTACAGCATTAGACCCAGCTGGCCCCTGTTTCTCAGACCGTCCGAAGGAGGAGCAGATCAGAGCTGGTGTAGCGGATTATGTTGAAGTTTATCATTGTGACGATGGTGCTTTGGGTACAAAGAGTGTCCTGGGTGATACAGACTTCTTCGTGAACAAAGGAAGTGCCCAACCACAATGTAAATCTACGATGGTATCAAATAAATGCAGCCACAACATTTGTGTGTCAATGTGGATGGCATCAGTTGCCCATCGGAATTGGTTCCCGGCTAGAAATTGTGACAAATATAAACTGTTCAAAAATTGGAGTTGCGTCACTAACAAAAAGACCACTGCTGGCTTCTGGAATCCTGGTACTGCGAAAGGCGTTTATTTCTTCTCGACTAAAGGACATAATTTTTAGATTAAAAAATATTAATGGTATACATTAAATATTTTTGGTTTGTTAATGTAAATGCCAATGTTGTAAAAATAAATAAATAATGTGAATTAAATAACTGAGTAATTAGTTACAATTTACATTATTTTAAAAGTACTAATTAATTAATCATGTTACTTCGCTTAACTTTTATTTCACGATACTTATTGAAATGATAAAACCGATTAGCTCTCCCTACAGCCCTACATCCATATGAATAATATACGTGACGTTATACGTTACGCAAAAATTACTACGTGGTACTGGTACATACCTATTATTATTAAATATATATTGTTGTACCGTCATTGCTGACAACAGGATACAAAACATACAATTATTGTGATGATAATTACCTAATATAGGTAATTTCAATGAGTATAGTCCTCGGCATGAAATGTTGCCAGGCATACGTCATACTTTGAGGTGGGGATAAATTTACCTACCTTCTTCGATAAATTGACTGTACAATATAACACTAAAGTATACATAAACATGATACCATGATTTTTATATATTTATTTAATCATTCATATACACACCAACAGCACAGAGCATATATAACATTCGAGTACATAGGCGCTACTAATTCCTGTTGGACTTTCTTCCAGTGGACTTCAGGCAAGAAATGTAATTAAAACATAAGAAAATAAATAAACATGAAGAGAAAACTGGTCTTACAGAAAGTTAAACAACGTTTGTTGAGTTTCACCATGTTAGTGAGGTTACCGGAGACCCAATCCATCCCCTAACCCCTAAATCCCCTAATCGAATGAGAATTTTATTTTAAACAGATTCATATTTTGAGTTGACCGACTTGGACTTATACAGGGGCAATTTTTTTTATACTTGCTAGGTTGACATTTGGACACCATCTCACCTGGTGGTAAGCGATGCAATTTAATTGCGATCAGTTAAAGAATAAGTTCAGGTCTTTCATATCACAGCAGACAGCAAATTTCATAAACAAAGACGAATTAAGTTTACGAATATTAGACTTACCCTCTATTATAAGTAACTAGCGACCCGCCCCGGCTTCGCACGGGTGCAATATGCATTTATTATACATACAAACCTTCCTTAAGAATCACTCTATCTATTAAAAAAAACCGCGTCAAAATCCGTTGCGTAGTTTTAAAGATCTAAGCATACATACGGACATACAGCAAAAGCGACTTTGTTTTATACTATGTATTGATATGATAGGTGAAATGTGGGTTTTACATAGTATCATGTGCACTTTTGCCTACCCTTTGGGGACATAAAATATGTGACGTCACGTTATGTTTATCGAATAATATTTTGTTAACAGATACGATCACTACGCCACTCTATGCGAGCTCCTGCCCGTGGCGTTGCCAAGTCTCGCAAGTTGCCTGAAGGTCCTACATAGAGACAATGACGGCATACCTATGGGTAATTATAATAATTATATTATTACATTTAGTTTATTCTTGTGTTTATTCTTTACTTCTGTTGCTCTTTTCCTCGCGTGCTTTCTTGCCCTGTGTCGTAAATTAAGGTAGCCAGCGTTATATAGGGCAAGTCTCTTCTAACCTGGTGGTATGAGTGTGATCTGAGTGCAGTCAAACAAACGCACTAATCAGCTTTTTTGTTGTGACCTAGGCCTCTAAAATATATTTATTTACTATTTTTTTTTACCATTCTTCATGAAAAATCAACGAAATGCAATTTAGAGCTTTACGATCATGCTGTAAAGTTTACTTTGCAAACATAAAAAAACTTGAAATTAATAATGCACAGTGCAAGCGTATTCTATTGTCTCATAAACCTTATAAACAGGAAGACACGATACTTTCCCCAATCATTATATTAGAACTTATTTTATGAATATTTAAAAAAATATCTTAATTGAAATAAAAAGCTTGGATTTTGAACCTTAAAGCAATGGTGTTGTGAATATTCCGTCATGTCAGTGATAGTATCTCTGTTCCGTGTGTCAGGATGCCGCCGCTTCACCCGGCGACGGATATGTCGTGCCCGCCCCATATCTCTGGCCGGCACTGACCTGGATCCAGGTTCTTATGCTAGTTCGTTGCAAACAACTGTTTGATCGTCGCTAGATGTTTTTAGTTCGTTGCTGAGTATTTATTCTTTGTTGCTGAGTATTTATTCTTTGTTGCTGAGTATTTATTCTTTGTTGCTGAGTATTTATTCTTTGTTGCTGGGTATTTATTGTTCGTTGCAAAATGTCTTTTTTATTTGCAAATTATTTTTGGTTCATCACAAAATGGTATTTGTTAGTCGCAAAAATTATTTTTGTGTCCTAGAGGGTCTTTTGTTCGCTGTTGTTTATTAGTGGCTCATTGTGTTCATTAATAGATATTTTTATTGGTCTTTAAAATACTACTGTTTGTTGCTAAATACCCCTGTACACCTTGTAAACGTAACGCTCCCGAACATTGACAAAAAGAAATTGTTTTGACTAATTTTAATCGTTTTTGTTTTCATGTTATTCATTCAACATAAGCAGGTGTCCATGGGCGACGCCGATTGCTTACCATCAGGTGATCCGTCTGCTCGTTTACCGGCTTTGCCATAAAAAAGAAAATAAATTTAATTCATTATTTTTATGAAAATAAAACTTGCTCTTTACCATCAACTGTCGGCGTTTCTCGGGATCGGCAGCATTCCGTTTACACCCTGCATAATTTTTCCGTCTTACATTGTTTTTTGTTAATTAGGAGTTGTAGGCACTTACGTTGAAATAATTTTTCGTTTTTTAATAAAATCTTATATTGCTTTCAAAATACCTACTTCATACGTTGTTCATAATTCATGCAAGTGTTTCTGTTGCAAGAGTCATATTTTCATTTGCAACCTGTTTATCATATTTGTGATCGTTCATCCTAGTATCATGTATATGAATGCTTCATTAACGTTATTATTTAAACCATCTTAAAATTGAATGTCTTTAAAAATGTACACTTATATTTACAGAACATGCGCTATGTGAAGATATACTGCCGTCCCATGAGTGGCCTGGGGAGGAGGTGGCGAGGAGTATTCACAGTTTTGTCATACTGAGGGAGAGGGCCATCGGACTATTAACTAGCGAAATGTAAGTAAAGTTTTTTTATGGCATGTACCGGTAAACGACCAGACAGATCACCTGATGCTGATGGTAAGCAAGCGGCGCCGCCCATGGACACCTGAAACTTGGTGTTTGGCGTTACAAGTGTGTTACCAGCTTTTTGGGCATTGGGTATTTGAGAATTTTGGAGTATTCGGGGATTGGAGAGACTGGGTAATTGGGCCTCCGGTATCCTCATGCACACGACGAAACACAACGCAAGCGTTGTTTCACGTCGGTCTCTGTGAGGCCGTGGTATCACATCTTTCTCATATTTTTGCCCGCCCCTCCCAAAAAGTCTACAAAGCACTTTTTAATACTCTAGTGATGCTGTACATGGTAAGCGCAGATCACTTATCTGCTGAGATTTTAATTTTAGTTAAAAAATGAATGCAGTGTGTATTATTATTACACCCTTATTACATGACACACAATGTAACTGGCGACCGAAAAATATTATATTTAAGTTGAGTGAAGATGTTATGTTATCTTGTGTGTATGTTAACCCGTTGAAATCCATCCCCTAAATTTGATCATACAAGAGTAGTCTCTAAACATTAGAAATAAGGTCTATAATGTAATGTAATATTAGTGGAGAGCGGTCACCGGTGACCGCTTGGAGATACATAATATGAAATTAATTGTATTGCAGGGTTCGCACCTGGCTGAATCCGTGGCAGATAGCTCGCAGGTACACCGTCCCAGTCCACGTCGAGGGCATCAGGGTCACTGCACACCAGTTAGTATTTTATCAGTTCATATAAACATTTTCAATGTGTCGTGGTAATGAAGTCTGTTAAAAAAAGGTCATAATATAACATCACGTCTTGTATCCCCGAAGGGGTATTCAGAGGTGCACATAACAGCACTTAATGCCACTGTAACTTTACGATGTAAAACCCACTTTTTACTATTTATGTTATGAGTCCCATGTAATAGAGGGTGAGCCTATTGCAATATACCGGACACAATTCCAGATTCCGTGCTACTGACTGAGAATTTTTAACTAACCTAGTACTTTGCCCGACCCGGGTATCGAACCCGAGACCCCGACGAGGCAGTAACAAAAAACGTAGTGTTGAAACTGCAAGGTCTGGTTTCTAATAAGACGTTCCACGAGAAGGTTCGAGTTCGATTACCGGGCTAGCCGAAGAATTTTTGGCTTTTTACAACGATCAAATCTACCCTCTGCAATAGTTACAGAGTATTGTCATACTGTTTGCATTTTATTACTGTTTTGTATTTTATTTAAAAAAACACAGGGCTTGTCGATCCTATATTTAAAACAATTTGCAAACAATAATATTTAAAATATTGTCTATGTATGTACCTACTTCTTTATATCATAAAACACTATTTAAAAAATCTAATAATCCCCCTTCAATTTTATTACAGCATACTAGGCGAGCTGGTAGCACTGAAAGCGGACCTCACGAACTCTTTGCTCCGTATAACTGGAGAGCGGAGCACTGACGAATGGATCCACTCGTACATCGAACCTCTGATAACTAAAGTCACTCGACTGTGCAGGATTGCTGACGAGAGAGTCGTTTGTGAAGCTGGAGTCAAACCTTTGTAAGGCGATGACGAGGAGGCTACTATGCTCAATTTCATTCAACCTCTCTTTAATTTTAAGTTTTAAGTACCCTTGTTACGGCCCCGGCATTGTTACCGGACTACCGTGGTACTTGCTCTATGCCGTGCTAATATTTGTTGCTAATAGATGGCGCTGCTGAAGAGTTAAGTAATTTTTTATTCAGATTTATTTTCAGGGTGTTTTGATCCTAATTTAAATGCGTCTCTCTTGTGCCCAACATTAATATTCTAAATATTAAGTTCAACATTAGTTAGACTGACAAGACCTATTCCCCGAAGCGCCATCTATTGAGAGCAAATACTCTAGTCTCAATTACTTTGTTTTAAATAAATCAGCCTAATTTTATTTAATACCTTTCTTACTAAAACCAAAGGAAATTATTTACTAAGCCACATATATTTGCTATTTATTTATTGTTATAGTATGTTTTGTCCCTCTTTCATACTCGATTATTAATTTGTAAGAACGAGACGAAACGTCCTAGAGCTTTAATAAGTTTATTGATATGTTATTTATGTATCAGTAAGTCAAGTTGTTTAGTATTCAGGTACGATAATAAAGATTGATCCAGCATAGAGACGGTAATTATTGTATTAATAACTAGCAGCCCGTCCCGGCTTCGCACGGGGTAACAATTATTTATTTTTGGAAATTTGGATTGTTGTAGTGACATAACTACAATAGTTGGACATATGTTACCGCGGAGTTTTTTGTAGACATTATCATAATGTCTACAAAAAACTCCTTCTTCAATATTGTTGTACATTATTTTGTTCTATCCGTAATAGTTTCGGCAGGGCATCCGACGAAAGACATTTTAAGACTCATTTTTCTACACCTTCGGTTACGTTGTTCAAATTTTACCAAGGATCCCTAATATTTTTCAAAATAAAATGTAGCCTATGTCAAATTAGAAGAATGTAGCATTCTATTGGTGAAATAATTTTTTTAATCGGCCCAGTACTTTTTGAGCCTATTCATTACAAACATACAAAAATAGGTACAAATCTTTCCTCTTTATAGTATTAGTATAGATTATCACTTATTTGGCGAGGAACTCGACGAGTTTTAAGCCATGCTAGAGGCTCATATTCATGAGCAGCATTCCGCGACACGCGACGTGGCGCGCTGGTACTGGCTAGCATGGCTTGAAACTAGTCGAGTTCCTCGTTAAATAATTATGTAAGTAAGCCGAAAATGATAATTAATACAATAACTACTGTCTCTATACTGGATTATACCGCCAAGACACCGGTGACCGCAACCTATTGTTCTTTAATGGTTTCTATAATGACGGTACTCAAAGAGTTAAGCTTTATTTTTTTACCTGTTTACCAAATTACTTGGTTTACTGTACAGCTTAGCTTGTTAAGAAAATTGATTTACTATATGCATATGAATGTAAAGAGCGGAAAAGATACATTGATTACATTTTACCGCTTACTCATATAAATGTTTGACGAGGTAACTCAACTAGTTTCGAGCACGCCAGGGACCTATACATGAGTAAGTTGTAAACATAATTTTATTGTGTTTTATGAAGGTGGTAATATTGTATTGTTATACAATTGAATGGGAAAGACTGATAAGATCGTGTGTGATTGGCCAATTCAAAAATAACTATATATCTAGGTAGGAACATACTCAAAGAAGACTGAACTCCATCGGCATGGCAAAGTACTGTGAAACAGTTTGTCTTAGAATGTTGTAGGTAGAATGGCTAGCAGGGCAACATACCGCAAAATTTTAATAAACAATTAACATGAGATTTTCGACTTTATATCAAAATAACATAACATCACGCCTTTTATCCCCGAAGGGGTACGCAGAGGTGCACATTATGCCACTGTGCAATGTAACACCCACTTTTCACTATTCATGTTATGACTCCCATGTAATAGGGGGTGATACTATTGCCATATACCGGGCACAATTCCAGACTCCGTGCTACTACTGAGACTTTTTTTTAAACCCAATAATACTTTGCCCGACCCGGGAATCCAACCTGAGACCTCTTGCCCGGCAGTCGCACTTGCGACCACTTGGCCAACGAGGCAGTCAAAATAATAAAGTTGAAATTGACAAAAAGGTGTACGTTTATCTGCTGGCCATTCTAAATTCAAGAATTGTGATGTGCAGATATAATTATGCATTGTTAATGGGGGCTGCTTACAGTTTTTTCTCACCAGATGGAGCTAGTGCGTCCCTCTCGTGTTTTCGTCGAATAGGGAATTAAATAGTGTCACATCATTCGTTATTAAATTTTTGACAGGTAAAGCGATTGGACAAAATTACCTCTTAATAAAATTGCCCCACCTGGTCTTGGTCTGGTAAAATACCGGTAGCTCCCATTAAATTGCTGGTTAACTGCATCAAGTCAGATTTATTTTGATTTGATTATTATTATTCATTTGCTAAAAGGTCAATGCACAAATGCTTTCTTTAGTTAGTAATTTCTAGGTAGATATAAATTTAATGGACTATGTTTTTTCGAGAATTTAAATGAATAATGTCATTAGTAAATGTTGATAATATTAAATGCTATCCTATTCGTTTTATTATGAAAAATATTATATGAGGCCAATGAATCTGCCGGTTCTCAACGGCAACTTCTTAGATATCTATTATCGTAGAAACTGCTATACTCAGAGACATTTAAAATCATTACTTAAAGTATTCCTTAGCAACGATTTTGTTTCAAAAACTATAGAAACGATGATCGAGTATGAAAATTAAAAATCTATTTAGGCCGTCAGTAAGATAATGAAAAAGTATTAGTCACGTATTTTTTTTGTCGTATAATAAAACAATACTAAGGGAATAAGGAGTAGATATTAAGGGAACAGAGAGTAAGATCGGAAAAGGAGTATCCTCCGACCAGTACAGGTGTTCGTGCCTGGCGGGCAGTTCGTTGGGATTTTCTATCCGCATGTTAACTTCACATTTGCGATGTAGGATTTTTGTGACGTCATCCGTTGAATTGCTTTCATTGATAGTCTATGTGCGTGAGCTGTCTTTTGACATTCGTGTCATGTGTCGCCACAGATAAAAACATCAAAGTTTAGGAGTGGAAGTAATTTCGTCATTTCTATTTACTTTGTAAGAAAATAAAAAAGGCGTGTCTAATGTTTTAAATCAAACCATTAAAATAACGGACATTAAAATAAAAATATTCACCTACATACTCTTGCTACAAATTCAATCTTCATTTAATGACTCTGAGTACGGCGGTAATAAAGCTATTCATACACTTACTTGTGTTCAATTATACAGGTCGATATATAAATATCAAATATATATATTTCAATTATATCTTTAATGTTATTGATCTCTTGTCCTCTTTTAGGACAAAAAGTATAAAATATCAATATTTTCCTTATGTATTGACTGTCTTAAATAAATTGTAGACATCTGAAGTCTTGATATATTTCCCTAAATGTATGTACTAAAGTATATTAAATACTTAGTATATTAATGCATTATAACATAACCCTATGTATATTAGATAACAAATAAGGGTTCAGAGGCTTAATATGATTTTGTTTTACGTTTAAAGTAATCGTAACGAGGACGCGTTCGGCGCTCTGATTGGTTGGTTTATTGGCGCCGGCCAATCAGAGCGCCGGACGCGCTCGATACAGTTACGAATGCGATAGTTATTCGTGCTTGGCACTCAGAGCGCCGAACGCGTACTCGTTTCGAGTACTTTAAACGTAAATTAAACTCGTACTAACGCCTCTGAAGAGAATGAGGGAACAGAGAGTGCACCTCTGTTTGTTGACACACTTCTGTATTGGGCTATTCTAGTTAGACAGACTGGCGACCATGATCATGATGATTGGTGTTTGTAGTAAACTGACATATTAATGTTGATGGCCCATAGTCTCATACGAAATATTCTGTACACACAAAGTGAAATGTTTTTATATTTAAATTATATTATATTATAATTATAATTACATTCATGTTTAGCTCAAGTAAGTGTTCAATGTTTAGTGTCCACCAAATAGGCAGATAGACTATTTAATCTCATTACTATAAAATGCATTTAATTATCATAAGATGTGTTTAATGTTCATAATAGTACTTTATTAAAAAAATTACCTACCTGAAAACCAGAGAATGCATTGGTTTTCTAGTATCACCTAATTATAGTTTTGTTTTAAGTCAGTGTTCTGTGTTTATATTGAAATTGGAATTAATTTAAATAAATGTTTCAAGAATAAATTGTCGTGTGTTTTTTTCTTTTTTTATAAGTACATTTTTGACCGCAAAGAGTATAATTACAGTGCATGAAAAAACATAAAATCTGTATTATTGTCACAATTTATTTACAATGTTATGTTGTTGAATGTTCCGTGTACGTGTGTAAAGTTATGTAACAAGATCTCTAGTTATTATTCAAGTCCGAAAACTCTTGGGTTTTTCAACACCCAAAAAATATAAAAGCAAAATGACCTTGCCTACATTTTCCCGCTAAAATTCATCATAAGACATTTTTTTAAAGGACAGGTTAAAAAAGTTGTAAAGGAAACGCGAGGCCATTATGTTTGGATGTCGTCTGTAGGAAATAAAGCGTACGACATAATCTGTGGCACATTACGCGTCGGATCTCGGGGCAATTAGCTTGGTCCATCAGATACCGTGGGCATGTCATAAGGGACATTATGAACTGTGTGGAAGTTGGCTTGAATGTTTTTTTGCAAAAATATTAAGTAGATAGGTGTAATTTCTTAGACTGTGCTACCAAATAAAGTGTAGGGGAAAGTCCCGTAACGCCGGACGGCACCTAACGCCGGACACTTGGATTATCTCGACAACTGATAACACGAGCGATTAAATTTTCTGATCACCTGATGGTAAGCAATCGGTGTCACCCATGGACGCCTGGAACTCCAGAGGCGTTGCAAGTGCATTACTGGCCTTTTGGGATTAGTAATTTGAGGATTGTTGGGGATTCAGGGATTGGGGAAGTGGGCGGG